GTAATGATAACATTTGCATTATGTCAATATTAGTCTTATAATATAACATTAGCTATATGTTATGATTAGCCGCTATGAATATTATTAAATGCTGGCTAATTTAACATTAGCCGGATAATATGATATTAGCCAAGAAATTTTAGATAATTTTAAAAACTATAAAAATATATCCTGCATGAGATAAAGTAAATTGTAAATTATTAACAATATTAAATATATTTAAGACACAATTAGTATTTACCATAAAATATATATTACATATTAATATAATGTAATAATTATTATGAAACAATATGAAGATTTTCAAGAAGAAAAATTTGATACGTATCGATATGGAATAGTTACGTACAGGCTCGTTTCGCTTGTATATTGCACATGTAACTTGAACGCTCTTGAACTTAAATTTCTTCCTTGAAAATCTTCTTTGAGTTTATTGTTAAAGAGTTGTGTTTAGGCAATTATTTTGTTCCTTGTGGTTTTTAGTTGTCTTTTTGTGTGTAGTAAATTATCATTAGTGTGTGTATATTCCCCGCCAATCAATCGTACCATATATAATATTACGCACCCACATGCACAAGTCATTTTTTCATTGGATCAACATTTTCAAAATCAATTTATGAACATGAAATAGTTATATGTCTGACAACAATTTAAGTACTTCCAAAGGTCTGATTTAAAAAATGTAAAGATGTTTGAATGCATAAATAAGATTAATCTGCATTGGTTGGAGCACTTTCAATTTTAGCAAATTCTTGACTAGAATAAACATTTTAAATCAGTTTTTATCAATATCAGTTTATTCAACTTATTATTATATTGAATATATGTCTGGCTCAGACTGATGCAAAGTAAACTTCTTTATCAAATCAAAAATCTTTACACTTTTAAAATCAAACCATTAGAAGTGCCTTAGTTTTTGTCAGTTGCTAAGGTCATTTTGATGAAAAACTGATAGGGTTTGCAGGGGCATTAATGAGTAACCTACCAATAAGTAATGATATAACATTAAATTGAGTATTTTATTTTATATTTCAAATTATTCCTTTTATTTATTGATAAGTTTATTGAATTGCCCATCTTCAATAGATACAAGTATAAAACTACACTTAATATAATGTTTATTTTGTCCACATCCTCTTTTGTCATCAGATAAAGAAATTTCAGAATTTTATCTATCATTCACAATTGATTTCTGTAAACAAATTTATTATTAGTGATTAAGAACGATATAGGTAATTTAAAACATCAATATGGTACCTGTATTATGCAAGAGTCACATAATCCTTCATCCTTTGCTTCACAACAATACTTTTCATTTACCTCTTGAATATTGTTATCTCCATTATTTTTTTCATCCACTTCTTCTTCCTTATTTATATTGTTCAAAAATATTTCTAGATCATCTTAAATACTGATCATTATCGGAATCGCTAGGAAAACGTGTAGACTGTAGTTAAACCTATTTTCATTTCTGTTCCAAACATTGCCTCCTACAGTGACCTACAGGCTACAGGTATTTCAAAAATATGATAATACTATGATAAATATTTAAATACTAATTTTAAATTACCTTTAGATACCGGAATGAAGCTCTTTATTCTTCATTAGCTGCAGAAATCTCAACCACTCTCCCTGACTTTACATTTTTAGTCTACATGTTTTGTATGTCTGTTGGTTAGCTATTTGTGCGCTACCATTAGTTTGGCTATGGCACAGTTTACCATGCACAATTTTTAACGTCAGCTACATAATTTTCAAGTATATTATAATTTTATCGATAAATTCACGCCCATTGTCGAATTGTAAAATAACCAGTGCTCCAAAAAAACAAAATATTTGTCCCCACTTATTCAGCCATTTTCGACTTTAAAGCCAGCCCGCAACTGAATTCATTTTGTTAAATTATTTTGGTAAACCATAAAGAAGCGAAATTCAAAATCTGATTTCATGACAATGAGATCAACCTAACAACGACTATTTATTTCTGAATGCATAATCGCTTAACTACAATGCCTTTTTCGTTTAGATGAGTTTTGTTAGAGAAGGTCCGCAGAAATTCAAGAACATAAGTACAACTTCTTGAGTAAAATATTTGTATTTATTTTTATTTCTGCCATCATTGGACGCTTACCAGTTACCGCCATACCAATATTAACGTGTATCTCATTTAGTACATCATATTTTAATTCGTATTTCTTTTTATGGAATATAGTAAATTTGTATTACCTTTTTCTACTGGTACTATAAGTTTCTCTTCTTTTCCGGTATTAATAATTTCAAATTTATTCAATTGCTGCCTTTCAAATCATTAATCATAGTTAAGAATTTTTAATTTGAAACATAAGAAGAATTATCTTCTTGTTTTTTGAAAAATTAAAATTCTGTTATTGTTTCTATTTCATTTAAAAATTAAAACACTAATTGACAGTTGCACTCGCAAGTATTACAAGTGAAAACAGACTAATTACAGATCGGCGTCATGTATTGTATAACATATAAAATTATAAAGTAATAAGTTAATACCTAGTAGTAGTTACTAGTTAATACTACAATTTATAACTTATAGCAAAAATATTGTCCAATTAAGATACTATAGTGTCTCTACGTACATAGAATTTATTTTCTCTTTGTCGTTAAGATAAACTTAGGTTAAGAAAAAATAAGTTATTATATTCTGGCAGTCCCACGCTTAATTATTTTGATACTATAGTATCCAGAATGCTAACAAAAACTCATACTATATTTAATATATAACTTTTAACATTATCCAAATTTGGCTGGTTAACGTTAAAATTATCCAGATAATGTTGATATTTCATGCTTATAAAAGAAAATTACACATTAGCTAAAAGGTTATGTCTGCATTATCCAATTGTTAACATTACCTGTAATTTTAATACATTAATAAATTATTTATGTTAATAGATCAGTCAAATTCTGGTGGACAAAGAAAATGTGGACTTTGTAAGCAACCAGGTAAATACAAATTTCATCCATTATGTGTCTTTTACATAAACTGGATATATTTTTAAATATTTTCAACACCTATTCCAACCTAAATGATTTGTTCACAAAATTCTTTTTTATAGGTCATACAAGAAGAAATTGTCCACGAAATTAAATATATGTATATTTCTTTAAAATTGTATTTTCTTATCTTGATATACCTATAAATAAACACATAATATATTATGTATACAACTATGAATTAATTAATTCCAAGTTTAAAAACACCAGACAATTGTATTCCTTAAACAAGGAAAAGTAAAAATAAATTAATTGTTAAATAAAATGTGTATATTTATTCAAATTACGATTTTTACTTATGACTTTTTTTTGGTGATTTTTATTAATTTGTACAATATACAAGTACAGCTAATTTAAGCAAACAATACATACAAGTTAAGATGGATGTTGTTATAATGGTTGATATTTCTAGTTATTAACATACTACTAGTTGTTACATGCATTATGTGTATAATCAGTGCTTGAATTGAAAAAAATGTTCATCCCTAAATACTCAAATGTCTTATTGTCTTATTGATTAAAACAATGCTTATCAACCTTTTTTGTTACGACGGCACCCTATTTAGATCCATAAAAATGATGACACACTTAATACAATTATTGGATTTTTAAAAAATTAACAATATTATAAACCTACACTGTTCAAAATGAGATGATGACTCGGCGCCGACCAGTTTTTGTCGGGTGGTGGTCACAACTATGTCCCAACTAAGGCGACATGTCACGGAACAAGGCCACGCCCATGCACTAAACTTGACTGCCGAGTCATCTCATTTTGAACAGAGTGTATATGTAAATCGAGAACGAGACTATCTTTACAATATTGTTTTTCTTATCTGTGGTTTTTACCCGCAAGTCATAACGCCATAATAATTTATACTTTGAATACATACAAAATAAATAGACAATTTTTTTGGAGACACATCACGGTAATACATGACAATCGCTGGATTGGGGTATAATTAGAAAGGGTACACATAAGTATTCTTTAGAAATAAGATACTCAGTTATTCTTCAATTCTGATTGATATAATTTGTACAAAGTGAAAATTACTATAGTATATATTATATGATTAAAATGGACTATTTTAAAAATCTAACATTATAATCTGTTGTATACTCTATTCAAGAGTTAAGTTAACCCACTTTTGTGCATTCCTACTGAACCAAGTAGGAAGTGATAATACAAAGTGAGTTGTTAGTAATGATAGTTTTCTGGTAGTATAATTATGAGTAAACGCTATTATTTATTTTTTCATTATTTTAATACATTTTATAATCCGAAAATTATTAATTGGTATCTTTCAATATATCAACATTTGTTTGATTGCTTTTTTTTTTATCAACTGTTCTAATTAAAAATAATTTGAAATAATTATATCAAAACACCAACCATTAATAATACTATGCATTATAGAACATAAATACAATTTAATGTTTATATTTTATAATGATAATTCATATTTATTTTAGATGTTTATAATGAGCCAAATGCCAATGTTCTTTAAAATTAAATTAAACTTTATTTAACTATTTTTTTATGGTAATATGACAGGATATCTTTTTTTTGAACACTGTTTTGAGTGCATGGTTCAAATGCCGGATGCTACTCCTAGCTCATTTAAAAGTGACATATAATTATTTACAGATGTTTGTATAATAATTATACTTATGAATTGTTATATTAATCACCTAGATAATCAAGAAGAACATTTTTTTTTCAATAAATTATATATTTTTAAATAAAACAGTAACAATCATTAAAAAAATAAAAAAATAATTTATTGGCATAAGTAAATATACATTAATTGTTTGATATTCTTTTTTGGTACAAAAAACAAATTTATAAATATACATAGACTATACATAATTGAATAATAGTTTTGGCAGTTGTTACCTGAACCAGTACAATCAAAAACCATACTGTTATAAAATTAAGTAAATAAAAGTGATGTACAAACCATTAATAAATGCTAAAGTTCTGTTGTTATTTCATCTTGTGGTCTGAAGCCAAGAGTGAAAAAATCATCTTCATCAGTTGCAGTTGAGTAACAATTATAGGGCGGCATTTCAGCATTCCATTCAGCTACTAACATACTTTTAGATGCATTTGCTTCTAATAATGAAAGAGAAGCAGGACTAGTGGATCGACCAAAAGTTGATACAGTCTTTTCTCGTAGCATAATCACCTCATCATTCTCATCTGGATGTCTACATAATATTAAAATAAATATTTTACTGTAATAAATGTAAAAAGTGTAATTGTTTTACCTGTTGTGATCATTATAATTATCATCAAACACTGAGATTGCCAGTTGTTTAATGCGAGATGGTGATGACGAAGATGCTGATAATGGTCTATGTTTTTTACTATTTGTAAAAGTAGTCAACTGAATTGGTTTATCACTAAAATGCTCATTTGAACTTGTTTGAGTAATCTGTGAACATATTAAATTTAAATTAACTACCACAGAATAAATCTATATAACAATAGCTTATACCATTATAGGGTGTTGTTTTTTGTATCTTCGCAAGACTCTATCACCCCAAGCCAATAAAATTTCCCAGTCAGAAGGAGGATTTAAAAAACAATCTTCTTTGTTTAATAATATTAAAATTCTGGATAAATCTTTTAAAACTGGTCTAAAATGAAATGATTAAGTACTGTAATATAAATTTAATTATTTAAATTTAATTCCTTAAGAACATACCGATATGCTTGTATTGCAGAATGTTGGCGGCTAGGTCCTCGAAGTTCTCGGACTTGTTTTCTTGTTTCATTTAACATTGATAAGAAAACCGGTGCATCAGGTCGTAACTTTTCCAACTGTTTGAAAAACTCTAATCTGTCACTGTCGTCACTTTCTATAAGACCACATTATTACTTAAAAATTAAATTAAAAACACTTATAATAAAGCACAATACCTTGACTTCGGTGAGAACCGCTAGTTAAGGGTCCCAAGCTAGGTGACATACGAGATTTAGACCTTATATTTGAACATTTTTTAAATTTGACTACCATTCCTACAACCAATAAAATAGTTGAGACTATTAGAAATCCTATGATAACACCAACAGTTATTGCAGCAATTTGACCAGACAATTTTATATTTCCAAATATAGTCTTATCTAAAGTTAAAATTAAATTAAATTAAATCAATAATTAAAAATAATAGGTAATATTTATGTAGATATTTAACTATAATTTATAGACAAACCAGTTAATGAGCACACACGGCCCATTTGATGATAATTTGTTGACCATGAGTATTCATACCCCAATGGACAACTTTCAGCACACTGACCTGTAGTCACAATCAGTACTTTCCTACATTTTTTGCAGAGTCCGTCGGTATCACATTTTAAACAGTCTGAATGTGTGTTGTTACAGTTTTCTATTGCACCATTACTATCTGCAAAAAAAAAATGTATGTATCAACGTTTAATTACAAACTTTAATTGCAATAGCAAGAGAAAAGTGGTACAATTTACTTGCCTGCATATGAATTTAGCGCCTCGGCAATAATGAAAATCGAAACGATTACCAATTTGATTTTTCTTCGAATCAAACTCATAATTTTCGCTCATTTTCATTTCCCGAAATCTGGATGGTGAGCACTCATAGTCGGTGTACACAAACGCTTTATACGTCCATCCGCGAGTATTACATTATGGAAGTTACTCTGGAATTTGTATTTCAATTGCAACTAATGAATTACTGTAATCACTATTATGTCGTTACTGATTTTAAACGATTTCCCGACTACTGACACAGAAACAACACATCGAACAATTTGTATCTAGTTTGTCTATGATTATTTAATTACTTATAAAAAAAAATAGAATTAAGATTAACGTAGGAACAATGATCTAAGTTACATCCTACATAATGTAATAATTATTATTATTATTCATTTCGCTATCTACATTCTACAATATTATTCTACATGACAAGACCGTCTCTTTCATACGCATACATGACACATGCAATGCAATCTATCATTTATCATTCCTGTACGTATCACCATAGAAGATAGAACAATATTACGGGCATCAGGTACTTTTCCCGAAATTTCATGGAGAGGAAAAAAAAAAAAAAAAAAAAAAGAAACCAGTGAATTCCCGAACATTTGTACCAACATAGAAAACAAAATTCCCTACAAATTATTATAATTAATTTATATATTTGGTGGAAATATTTATTTTTATTTATTTTTATATTCAAAAATTATCGTATAATTATGGGGCGGTTCAAATATTATTGTATAATTCTAAAAACCACTTTATTGACAATTTTTAAAAATTCTGTTTTATTTTTCAAAGGAAAAAGTGCACTTAACACTTGAAACACACATCACTAAGAGATCTAAGTGGGTAAAAAGTTATAAGTGCATAATTGCAAAACTAAATCAATTTTAGTTGATATACTACACCATAATAATACTACAGATTAAATGTTATGTACTATATCACATACCAAGTTTTTGCAAACATTGAAATTATTGGAAAAAATTAAGTTGTGTGGTGGAGATGTCACATGGAATGCTATGTCCTAGCCCATATTTATGAGGGGGCAACGGGGACATTTTGGCCAAATATTTAGGGGGGCAGCCGGTCACCGCTGTGGCTCTGTAGTCCAGTGTAATATTTTTTTGGAAAGAACTTCATGGAGTAATATTTTGGGGAAAAAAAATTATAATCATAATACCTATTATATTCTTTTTTGTAGATTTTTTTTACTGTGTATAATAATATACTATATTTTGTTATACCTTATACCTACATTTTAATAATAGTAATTAAAACATGACGAATTGACAGTTAAAGTGTATTAAGAAAAATCAAAAAAGTGGATCTATTTTTTGGTGGGGTTGGGGCTTAAAAATATGGTTACCCAGGGCGCGAAAATTGTAACATACTGTGTTTAAGTGGAGCAAATTATCAATTTAAAGTTAATATAAAAAAAATTACAAACTTTACTCAATTAAAAATAAGTTCGGTACAGGTTTGTTATCCATACACAGCAATACATTTAGAGATTTAGATATATATGTATGATTATTAGATATAATTATGTATAATAATATATTTTAACATGTAAATTAATTTTACAAACATGGTTTAATAGTTGAATATATATTTACAAGCAAACAGTTATTATAATTATAATTGTTTGCACACATTCTTTAAGCCAGAGGTCGGCAAGTAAATTCTATTGGAGTCCTAAAGATTAAAATAATAAATCAATGAGGTCCAGTGTTAATCTTTGTCAAATCTTTATATTTAAAAAATAGCAGTATTAAATTAAAAATAATTATCCAGTTGGTATTCCAATTAATTTATATTAAAAAATTACAATGCCTATTAGGTAAATAATAATAATAATAATAATTTAACGCTGTCTGTATATTTGGTATTTTCGCGATTCGGTTATTGTAATAAAACAGAACAGATTATTACCTACCTGAAAGAATATTTGCAATGAATTATGATACAACTATAATCTGAGTTTGATAAACGAAATGAAATATATATTTTCTATTAATAATTATAGTAAAATAATAAAAAAATAATAATACATAGCATATACTTTTACAGCAAATAACACAGTTTAAGCTAATGCTTGAGTTCATAATATAGGTACAAAGTAATAAAAAATGTCTATAAATACTTGATTAATACTTAAATAATATTAATTATATATACATTGTATTTCGTAAAAATTCATACTAAATTAATCTTCTTCATTATAGAAAATTGTAAAATATGTTTATAATAAATAAGTGAATTGATTAATATTTATTACCATTTTCCTACTAAGCGAAATGATTTAGGCAACTTTAATTACAATTGTAGTATTTATATATTTTTTTTAAATTTGGTATTATAGTTTTGCTTACAAGTTTATGGTTTTGAATTATGGTCAAATATGATGCAGTTTATACAAAACATTTTGAAAATATTATAAAATTTATAAATTCAAACTCATCTTTAAATAGTACTCCATCATCACCGATAAGAGGTTATCCTCAGTGGTGAGATGGGCCATTTAACTATGTAATTAATATTCAATTTTTGGCCAATAAATATTATTATTAATAAGTTGGTAAATACGTTTGATGCTTAAAACTTAATAGTAAAATACATTTAGTGAGAATCTTATCAAAATCTAAGATATTTAATTCTTTAATAATAAATTTAGTACAAGTAAGAATAGGAACTTTTAAAATAAATTTAATAAATTTATTTATAGTGGATTTTAATTTGTTCAAGTGGATTTCATAAGCACCACCTCATAGGTATATCAATACCAAATACAATTATTGATTGAATGAAGAAAACATAAATAATTCTAAGTTGTTGTTTATCAAGAATAAACCTTAGGCCTTTAAAAACATAAAAGAATTTACGACCTAAATTTATGATATAGTTTATATGTATGCTCTATTTTAATTGGGACTTAATATATATTCCTAGATATTTGATAGAATAGACACCTTCAATATTATTAGAAAAACAAATTATTCAAAATATTATTAAAACTAGAAGTATTACTTCCAACTATATTAATAAAACTATTATTTTAAATTATATCTTTTAAATAAATTTTGTTTGAAATTTAGGTACTGGTCTAGTTGACCCGCCAGGAAGGCAATTCCCCCGCCACTCAAGTTTAGTTGACACTCTCCACTTACCTACATCTCTCGTATTTTTGATGTTATAAAATGTATAATATACTGATATACTGCAGAGTGCGGATAAAAAAGGTACGAAATCATATACGTTAGGTATTTGTGTGAAATTCTCTAATTAGATATTTTAAGAATTATGTTTGGTAAAATCCGTGTAGTAAAATGAATTATATAAGATAGTTATCAGAGCAGGTGCGGTATATAATATTATGAAGTATTACCATATTTTTTATATATTTTTATTTTGATCGCTTGAATTGTTCATAATTGTATAATTTTTAATAAATGTATAATATTCTATAAATTATGAATAGGGTTCGGATTTGAAGGCAATATAATCAATAAAAAAAGGCAAAAAAAGGCAATTAATTTATATAAAAAGGCAATTCATAAATATACTACAAAATAAAATAGTGAACATTTTTTAAACAAATTTAAATGCACACATTTTGAGAAAAATACAAATTAAAAATGAACATGAATACTAAACTACATTAAGTTTATGCTATTTTGTATAAATAGATTAGGTACCTTTTTCTTTAACCAGGTTTGTCCTAAGAATTAGTTAAAAACAATTTTAAATATTAACTTACTTGAGTTATACCAGTTAATTTAATGCAAAATAAACAAAAGGTAAAAAAGGCAAAAAGGCATTTATAAGTAAAAAGGCAAAAAAAAAGAGATCCATTCTCTAAGAAATTAAATGAAACACAATTTTGTATAAAAATTATTTTTCTATTATGATTAATAAAAAAAAGGCATTTGCCTTCAAATCCAAACCCTAATTATGAATTATTGATTATAGAAAATACAAATTTTAAGTGGCGGGCGTCAACTAAACTTGAGTGGCGGGGGAATTGCCTTCCTGGCGGAGGTCAACTAGACCAGCACCAAAATTTAGAAAATTTATGTCTGTATAATGTATTACAATCGTTAACATTTTGTCAATAAATTCTATCCATAATATGTTTTTGTTAAAAAATAAGTAAATAAAACACCAATAACAGTTAAATATACAAAAATTAACAGTAAGGATAAAAATTAATTGGCTGAAAATAAAAACTTGTGATTGTCCAAAGAAGATGTATGAGCTGAATCATAGTTGAAAAGTCAATGTTAGTTCCAAGATATTCTTAATATTCTTTACCTTGTTTATGCAAAACTAAGCTTTGTTGACTATAACAAACAAAAAAACAAACTAATTAATATAAGATTTGTGAATAATATACCTATTATAAGTGTAACATAAGTACATCACTTTAACCATTGAAGTGTTATGTAAGTAACTTAAATGATGAATATAATAAATAAAAAGCAGTATCAAAAACTTATTCAGGTAGGCTCGAGTAAGAAAAACTCTTGTTAACTAATGTCATTCTAAAAATCATTATATATAATAGAATATGTTATATTTGCCATTTGGTGCACAATATTATAATAATTCTTTGAAGTTAAGCATACAGGCTACAATCGACTAAACATTACAACAAAGTACTTAGGTATGTGAAATATAACTTAAACTTAATTTTGTTAAAAAAATTACCTACTTTTATTCAAATAAAATTACAATATCATAATATTAATATTAACCATCTAACATTACCTTAAATAATTGTATAATGATGAATTGGAGCAGCACTGCATTTTTCCAAATAGGTTATCTCCTCGAGGCTCAGGCACATTCCTACATCACTCACTATTGTTCCCTCTTGACTAGAACTAAAACACTAAATTAATTAATACTACAAAGTACAGAGAGATAAATATCACTACAAAGCTTACTTGATATGTTATGAATCATGAAGATTTGAATGTTTGATTATTGTAGGTGGTAGTAGTCTTTCATCAATGGACTTGCTCCTTCATTAGGTAATTCATTATTG